GAGCCCGGCGGCCGCGAGGGCTCCGCAGGGCCCTAACGGGAGCGCGGCGCGGAATAAAGAGCCGTCCCCGAGCCGTGGTGACATCCTGGTCTGAACGCGGCCTCCGGAGGGGACGAGGGACCCGCGTGGGAGCCCCGGTCTCCGGTGCAGCCTCCGCCTCRGGGACATACGGTAGTTAGTGCGCTTCTACACGGGGATATATGGTAGGGGATCGCCCAACCTCATTGGGGGCCGCAAGGGGGTGGGGAGAGCTTGTGATTGACGGCGCGATGGCGAATCAGGGGGAATTTTCACTGCCAGGCGCCCTCCCGGCTTTCATGGGGATTGGACAGTCGCGTAGACTGGCAGATGAGCTGTCCAATGAGAAGGAGGGAAGGTGAGGCTAGCTGGAGGATGGGGGACAGTGAACAGTCCCGTTCCGTTCGCGAAGAAATTGGCTGACGTCCCGGATTGGCACGTTGCTCGGCCAATAGAGTGGCGGGAGCAGTGTCGAGGGGCCGGGGCCCGCCGCTGACAGGCCCGCAGCCCTTCCCATTGGCTGGCGGGACGGAGCGACGTAGGAGGCGGCCAATGAGACTGGAGAGGATGGGCGTGGCGGCGCGGTCCCGCCCTCCGCCTTGAGTGACAGCGAGTTGACCCACTCGGCTCGCCCACTCGCTCTGACTGACAGGGCGCGCAGCCAATGGCGGCGCGCGCCGAGGGCCGCGGGGCGGGCGCGGCGGAGCGGCGCCGCGGGGGGTGTCGCCAGTGCCGGATGAGGAGACGCGGAGGGGAAGTTTGGCCGCCGCCGGGGACCGTGTGAGGAGGAAGAGGAGGCGGCGCCGCCGCGAGCGCGGCCCTCGCTGCCCCCGCCGCCATGGGGAACCGCGGCATGGAGGAGCTCATCCCGCTCGTGAACAAGCTGCAGGACGCGTTCAGCTCCATCGGGCAGAGCTGCCACCTCGACCTGCCGCAGATCGCCGTGGTGGGCGGGCAGAGCGCGGGCAAGAGCTCCGTGCTCGAGAACTTCGTGGGCCGGTGAGTCCCGCCGCGACGCGCCGGGGAGGGGCGGCCAAGCCGTTACGCCAGCGGCGTAAGCCGCCCCGCTCCCGCCGTACGCCAGCTGCGTAGCCGCCCCGCCGCGAGCCGGGCCGCCCGCCCGCCGCTGGCGTAAGCGCGCTTTGTGAATAGCGCCCGCGGAGGGGGCAGCCGCTACGCAAACTGCGTCCGCCCGCGCTGCCGGCGCTGCGCACTCTGCGTAAGGCGCCGCCCGGGGGAGCGCTTACGCCAACGGCGCAGGCGGGAGCCCGGGCCGTGCGCGGCGCGCGCGGCGCTGGCGTAGGGCGGCTCTGTGAATAGGGCCGCGGCTCCCGGCGCCGTGAAGGGGAAAGCGCCGGGTTCCCCTTCCCGGCGCTTCCCTGCGGCGCTGGCGGCTGTGCGGAGCCGGGATCCCGCTCGGGTGATCCCAGGGGCGACCCCCTTCCGCGTCCCCGGGGCCTCGTCCGGAGCCCCTGCGGCTTTCCAGCCGCATCCCGGCACCTGTCGGGATCGCACGTGGAGCGCCCGCCCTGRTGTCGGGAATAGCGGGAGCTTCCCGGGCACCCGCCTTTCCCAAAGCCCCTTTGGCCTTGCGGTTGTGCCGGGGCCCTCTCGGAAGCGCTGCCCGAGGTGTCTCCGCCGTGCTGCTCTTCCCAGGTCAAATTCCAGCTCGTTTAGCCGTTTTCCTAGGCGGAAGCTCCGGACGCGGAGCCGGTGTGACGCCGCTTGCCTTTTCTCCYGTGCTCGCAGGGTTTGGATCCATAATGTGGATCTGCAGCCCTCGAGGAGGCCCTGTCCATGCSGGAGGCGCCGGACGGTCCCAATCCGCCGGGATAGGCCCATCCCGGGCCTTGGGCCGGCTCCCTCTGCAGAGGGGTCAGAAGGGTTGAGTTTTCACCCCTCACCTTGGCGGCCCCTAATTACGGAGCTGCYGGAAAACCGGCCTGCTAATTAAGCATCCCTGTTCCGGGGCGTTGAAGTCTTCGTCAGGAGGATTTAATGAGGGTTTAGCCGCGCTCCGACGGCCGCTCCCAGCGGGATCTGTGCGGGAGGCTCTCTGAGGTGCTTGCGCCAAGTAGCTTTTTCCGTCAGGTGGATTTTTTTGCCTGTATTTGGGGTTTTTCCCCCTCTATCTCTGCAGTGAGGTAACCAGGTAATCCCATGTGCGCTAAATTCCGCCCTGGCGTCGAGTCCGACGCTTCCCGCGCTCTCCAACAGCATCTCGGTCATCACCGCGTGCCAGGAAAACCCATGTTAGCGCCTCGCTTTTCCCATTGATTTCCACGCTTTCCGTTGGAGGGTGGAATAACGCGGGATACGGACTCGAGCCGCGGCGCCGAGCGGGATGAACCGCCCCRAAAGGGAGCGTGCCGAGGGCAGGAGCGAGCGCTTATCTCGGCGCRCAGGCCTGGGGCTGGCGCTCGATACGGCGCCGCCAATATCCATCGGTGTCCCGGTGCCTCAGCAGGGGCCGACGTGCCCTTCCCGCTGGGAAAAGAGCCGCGCTCGGCCGCTGCGGTGTCCGGAGAAGAAGCCGGTGGCGGCTCTGAGTCGTGTGTGGAATTACTAGGTGTATTTAGTATTATATTCGTATTATTTATTATACCAAACATGATGGAAATGGGAAAAGCTCCCTGTGGAGAGCCTGGAAGACGCGTCCTCCTGTCACGACAGTTGCAGCAATGGAAAGGGAATGGGAATGGGAAAGCCTGTTGGATACCGTGTGCTCCAAAGCGACCTATTCCACTCTTTTTTACTGGAGAAAAGGCCCAAAGGGAACCTAAAACCCTGCGTGGAAGCGACGCTGAAACGCGCTCAAAGCGGGTGCCGTCCTTGTGCCGGCGCAAACGCGCTCGCCGCTCCGGGATGCGTCTCTCCGGTGGGATGACAACGGCGTCTTTGTGGCCGCTGTCCCTGCAGCGGCACCGGCCTCAATGGCGCATTATGAACGGCGGCCGTCTCGGGGCCTCCGGAGCCTCCGGATGCGGGAGAAACGCGGCCGAAGCCCGGGGTGCCGCCGGGAGCCGCGGGGAACGGTGCCAAGGAGGCAAAACGGAGCGTCGGGATGCGGATCTGCAACAACCGAGCCTCTTCGAGGGGAAAATCCCTGGAGAGCGGCGAGCGCGACCCCTTCCCGTGACRTTCCCGGCTCCCCGAGGGAACGGGCCGCGCTCGGAGCCGGGATCCCGGAGGCGGCTCTGCCCTGCGAGTCGCAGCCTTGACTCCGCGTCCGAGAGGATTTTACAGCCGCAGCAGCCGTAGGGTTTAATTGCTGGGCGTTGCTCYGGTAGCAGCAGGCAGAGCTGCTTGGAATTGCAGCCAGAAACGAGGAAAGAGGGAAAACGGAGAGCGCCCGTCGCTGCCTTTCGGGAGAGCTCCCGCTCCGGCGTCCTGGGGATGCTTCTTCCATGCGCCAGCCCCAAATCCCGGTGCCCGCAGCGGGGCCGTGCGGCGCAGCCCGTCGGAGGCTCCGCGCGCCGCTGACGTCGGAGGCGGCCGAGGTGCCGGGAAGCGCTGACCCTTCCTTCTCGGGAAGGGCCGTCCGCCCCTTCGCTCCGTCTSGGCAAACAGGAGCGGCTTTGCCGGCGCCGGGCGCAAACACGGAGCGCGATAGAGGGGCCGTGAGTAATGGGATGGATGGGGCAGATCCCGCGGCGCCGATACCCCGCGGCGTCCCCTCCTCGCCGCTGGCGTCACTCCTGCCCCGCCGGTTGGGAAATCCCTATTGTGCCGATTGGGAAACCGCTATCGCGACGTGCCGCGTCTTCCCTCCCGTGGAGAGGGGGTTATCAGCCGGCAAGGAGCAGGGGAGGGGAAAGGCAGAGCCCAAGGCTCTTGGGAATGCTGGAATAACGTGGCCACGGTGGGAGTTATCCCTGCTCTTTGCAGCCCCGTGGAGCGACGTGCACACGGGCTCCGCGTCCGGGCCCTGTTTGCCCTCATCCGAGTCCCTGKTTTGGTGACACCCTCCCGGAATGTCCGGGATGCCGGCGCCTTTGACGACTTTCCCCTTGTTTGCTTAAAAGGGCAGGAGCGGCCGCAACGCTCCCGGTGCGTCACGAGGCCGCTGGAGCCGCGGCGTTCCCGGCGTTCCCAGCGCCGTGCGYGGCCCCGGCCTTCCCCGCTCCGGATAAGGCCTCTCTGGATAAGATGTTTTCTCGGCTCCAGAGCCTCAAGGAGAAAGCGGAGGAGAGAGCAGAGCCGGGGCCGTCCGTGSGCCTGGATAACAGCCCCGTGCTCCGATCCCCCCGCAGGAGCAGCGCTCAGGGGCTGTGCCCTGTCYGCTTGTCACCATCCCAGAGAGCGGYATTCCCGTCAGGCCGCGGTGTCCGGGCAGGAATCGCCTCCGCTCCGGTGGCGGATACAGAGGAGGATCCAGTTTACCCGGCACCGGCACGYGGTGGCGGCGTCTCCTCCCGCCTGCAGCTCCGGGATGGGCGCGCGATTCCCTGCATGTTTAATCCCGCCACTGATCCCGTGTCTTCTCTTGCAGGGACTTCCTCCCCCGAGGCTCGGGAATCGTCACGCGGCGGCCGCTCATCCTGCAGCTCATCTTCTCCAAGACAGGTAGGGTCCGGAGATCCGGCGCGGCGCCGCTCCGAGGCCCGCTGCTGAGGTGGGAGAGGCTGGTGGCGCGCTCGGCTGGCGCCGGCCCCGCCGGCGGATGCTCCCAGGCACCAGAGGCTCCTGCGGATCTCACTGAGCCAATATCCAACATTTAAGTTATYGGTCCTGGCACTTGGGAGCGTTCCCAGAGCCGGGGCCGCACTCCGGACAAGCCAACATGCCTTCCTCCCCGCAAAGTGCATCGATGTTTAAAAAACCCTTAAATTAGCCATTCCATGGCCCCRTATCAGCACAATGGGCACCCCATGGAGCTGCAGGAAGTTGGGAGAAGAGCCGGAGCCGCAGGGAGAGACGAGCCGGAGGTGGGAGAAGAACCTCACACGTTCAGGGCCTCTCTTCTGTTCCCAATCCCTGGAAACTCTCCCCAAGCCGCAATTCCGCTGGGAAATGGCTCTTCACCCTGGTCACCCACCTGGGCGCCCCTGAGAAGCACCGAGTTCCTGAGAACGGACCACAAGGCGCCTTCCCAACAAGCGGAGCGTCGGGAAGCTGCTGGTCGGAGGGGCCGCTGCCTTTGTCCGTAGGGGATGGTTGGAATTTGCTCGCGCCATCCTCTTCCTYGGAGCTGCCTTCCTGGATTAATCCTTGCTCTGCCAGCCGGAGCTGCAGCCGCTCGCTCTTTGCGCCCCGTTTTGCGCCCGTTAAAGGAGTTTTGGTTTCTGGTGCACAAGGATTGTGCAACGGCCGCGTCRCCCGCCAAGGACGAGGAGTCGGAGGCGCTCGGACCGGTAGGAGCGGAAAGGTGACATTGACTTTCCCCCTTGTCCCACCCTGCATCCGGGGTGCCGAGGGAAGGAAGCAGGAAGTGCCACCCGTGCGGAACGTCCTTTCCCAGCGGCCGGCAGCAGCTGCAGATTCCTTAAAATCCTTCCCAAGGGGCGGATTCAGGGCTGTTCCCAACAGCCAGGGAGCGTCTGTCCGGACGAGGGCCCTGCCTCGTGTCCCGCGTGGCTCCGTGGAGTTTTCCAAGTCCTTGCAAAGCTTCTCTTGAATTAGCGGCTCACGAGACCCTTTTGGAAGAATCTCCCATGGAAATTCCTCCCCTGTYGGCCTGGGAATCCTGGCGGTTCCGAGGTCCTTCCCTTCCTGCTCATTTCCCATCCACGGGCCTGAAGATCCAGCGCTCCGGTTCGGGCACATTGCGACTCCGGGCAGYGGGATCGAAGATGAGACGCGAAGTCCTGGGATCTCTTGTGGTGTTTGGAGCTGAAGCCCTCCCCTCGGCTCTGGGACAGGATCTTCCCTGATCTGGGATCTTCCCCTGGATCAGGGACCGGGGCCCTGCTTGGCAGCGGAGCGGCCTTTCCCTTGGCGTCGGAGAGATTCCAAGATTCAAAGYGATCGGGGGACGCTGAGGGGACACYGGTGCRCGGGTGACAACAGACACGGTCACTCTGCCCCTCRGCAATGCCAACCGTGTAGAATGGTCAAATCTTGGCGTGTGTCTCGCTGGGCTGGGCTTGAGGTGGGAACCAAATTCCCTCTCCTTTTTTTTTTATGTACATATGGGCTCCTTTTTTCCAGAATACGCCGAATTCTTGCACTGCAAATCCAAAAAGTTCACGGATTTCGATGAGGTGCGGCAGGAGATCGAGGCGGAGACGGACAGAGTCACCGGCACCAACAAGGGCATCTCCCCGGTCCCCATCAACCTCCGCGTCTACTCGCCGCACGGTGAGGCAGCCGCTGCTCTCGGCACCCTTGGGTGCAAACGGGCCCTTGTCCCCGTCCTGTGCCAGCGTGGGGACGCGGCGGCGAACGGCGCTGCGCCCTGGAGCCCCCTTTGCCCCCCGCCCCAACGCTCTGTCCCTTTGCAGTGCTGAACCTGACGCTCATCGACCTGCCGGGCATCACCAAGGTGCCGGTGGGYGACCAGCCGCAGGACATCGAGTACCAGATCAAGGACATGATCATGCAGTTCATCAGCAGGGAGAGCAGCCTCATCCTGGCCGTGACGCCCGCCAACATGGACCTGGCCAACTCGGACGCCCTCAAGATGGCCAAAGAAGTTGATCCTCAAGGTAAGGCTGCGTCCTGCCCGGCGGTGGCGCGGTGCCTCGCAGGTTGGGTGGCCCAGGTCTCGGAGAGAGCCACAAAAGTCTTAGCTGCTGGTGCAGGGGAGCCCCCATTTGGGAGCCCCAATTTGGGAGCCCATTTGGGGAGCTCCCCTCTCTCCTCTCGCTGAGAGTCCTCCGGTGGTTGCGGAGGCGTCCGCAGCTCCGGGCCAGTTGCCCCGGGCCCCTTTCCGTCGCGTTCCACGAAATAAAGTGGATTGTTGCTTCGTGGCCGCCCCAGGTTTGCGGACCATCGGAGTGATCACCAAGCTGGATCTCATGGATGAAGGCACCGATGCCCGGGATGTGCTGGAGAACAAGCTGCTTCCTTTGCGGAGAGGTGAGCGGAGCAGCGGGCGGCTTCGTGTTGCCCCGTTCCCTGCTCCRCACTGAGGGGGTGGCGAGTCGCAGGGCAATTCCCGCGTAGTCCGTTATCCATGACCGAGATCTGCCGGGACCCCCTCTTGCCGAAGCCGCTGCCCTCGTTTCGGAGGAGTGGAGGCGCCCGGCAGGGCCCGCAGCCAGAGCCGCCGCGTCCCCTCGCAGGCTACATCGGCGTCGTGAACCGGAGCCAGAAGGACATCGACGGCAAGAAGGACATCCGCGCGGCGCTGGCGGCCGAGCGCAAGTTCTTCCTCTCGCACCCGGCCTACAGGCACATGGCCGACCGCATGGGCACCCCGCACCTGCAGAAGGTCCTCAACCAGGTAGGCCGGGCCGCGGGCACGGAGCTCTGCGCCCGCTTGGGCCCAATTCCAGCTTCTTGGATGCGCATGGAGCTCCAGAAGCCGCCTGGCGCCCCGGGCAGCTCCGGCGCGTGCCGCCACGCTCCCTTTCCCGCTTCTTCCGCAGCAACTGACCAACCACATTCGGGAGACGCTGCCCTCGCTGCGCAGCAAGCTCCAGAGCCAGCTGCTCTCCCTGGAGAAGGAGGTCGAGGAATACAAGAACTTCCGTCCCGATGACCCCACGCGGAAAACCAAAGCCTTGTTACAGTAGGTCGCTCCCTGCTTCCAGCCAGGGGCCTCCCCTGGCAAAGGAGGTGCAAAATCCACCCCCATCTTCACGAAGGGCTCGTTTATTTTTGCCCAGAAATGCCCAATTCTGCTCCAGCGCCTCCCGCAGAGGGAATTTGGAGGGTCTCTGTTTAATCCTGCTGCTTGTCCCCAGGATGGTGCAGCAGTTCGGCGTGGACTTTGAGAAGCGGATCGAGGGCTCGGGAGACCAGGTGGACACGCTCGAGCTCTCCGGGGGTGCCAGGATCAATCGCATCTTCCACGAGAGGTTTCCCTTCGAGCTCGTGAAGGTGAAGGCGGCGCGGCGGCGCGGCGGGAGCCTCCGCCGTGCCCGCYGCGCAGCCTCACCTCGCCTCTCTCCCCTCCGTAGATGGAGTTCGACGAGAAGGATTTGAGGCGGGAAATAAGCTATGCAATTAAAAACATCCACGGGGTGAGGCAAGTGTCGGAGCGGCGCGGCCCCTAGGATAGAGCGCGGTCCGTGCGGCGTGTCCCGTGGGAATAGTCCGGCCGGGCGGGGGGCGAGACGTGTCCCTGTCACCACAGGGTGGCCGGCACTTGCCGGGCCCGGAGGAGCCGCCTTCCGTGCGAGTCCTTCCTCGGCGTGCCGGCTGCCTCCACAGGGAAAGGGAAATCCGGCGTTTCCTCTCCTCGCCTGCATGCTCTCCCCAAGGAGCCGTTGGAGCCGCTCCCTGGGAATCCCTTCTCCCTAAACACCCCTGGAAAAGCTGCTTCCCGGTGGCGCCGGGCAGGGGCTCTGCCCTTCGTCGCGCAGGGAGCAGCGGGATGTGCCCGCGGCTCCGGGAAGGGCAACGGGAGCCATCCCGGCCCGCGGCCGCCCGGCCGGGGAGGGAGTCGCGCTCCAGGGGGGGCTCCGGCGGCCCCCCGAGCTCATCACCCCTTTTGTTCTTCTCTCGCCATGTCCCGGCCCGCGTGCGGACTCCTCTAGGACGGGGCTCTTCACCCCGGACTTGGCGTTCGAGGCCATTGTGAAAAAGCAGGTGGTGAAGCTGAAAGAGCCCTGTCTGAAGTGTGTCGACCTCGTTATTCAGGAGCTAATCAATACCGTTAGGCAGTGTACCAGTAAGGTATTGATGTGGCTGCGGGCCCTGCAGCGGCTCTGGCCTGCCCGCCCTGCCTGGTTTCCCCTCCAAAAAGAGAAGGGAACCAAATTTGGGAGCCCCCCCGTCACCCCCAAAGCAAACCGGGGCTGCGTGGGCTTTGGGTGATGCGTCTCCTGACGCGGAGCGGAGCCCCGAGGACGGCTCCGCGGTCCCGGGCTCCCCRAGGCCTCACCGGCGGATGGATCCGGGAGCCCCGCTCCCGTCCCCGGGTTCGGGGAAGCATCCGGAGAGCCGATCCGTATCCCGGGGCCTCCGCCCCGGCGGCGCGCGGGAGCCAGGCAGSCGGGCAGGCCGCCCCCGCGGCCCCGCTCCTCTCCCCGCGATTTAAACTGCCGCTCCGCCGCACTCCGCCTCCGAGCGGGAAAGGGAGCCCGGGAGCCGCCGTTCCAATCCCCYGGCTCCGCGCTTAACGAGCGGCTCGTTAACGAGCGCCTCCCCGCCGCGTCGCCGCTCTCGGCAGAGCCCCTGGCCCGCGGCGGCATCCAGAGCCGCTTTGGGTGCCGCTTTCCGTAACCGCGGAAGCGAAAGCACCGCGCCGGGCGGAAAAGAGGGCGGGAGGAAGGGCTCCCCTTCCTCCTCGCGCCGCTTTTGGGGCCGGAGGGAGCAGATTGCGGCCGCAGGCGGGGAGCGGAGGCCGCGCGGAGAGCTGCGCGGAGCGGAGCAGTTTAAAGGCGGGCGCCGCGGGGCTCTGCTCCCTGTGCTCTGGTGTGCGCTGTGTAACGTGGGGTAGCCGCCGCTGGCTGCCGAAATTCCTTCGGTCCCGACAAGCGGGATTCCCGCTCGGCCACAGGGTGATGAGAAGAGCGGAGCGGAGGCCGGAGCTCTGGCTTCGGAGCCGAGCTAGGGCGATGTTTTGGGTTAACACGTGTTGTTTTGAGCAACCTGGGGGTTTTACCCCTCTGGGCAGCCAAACGGTGCCAGCCTGGCCCTTAGAGGAGCCTCRGAGAGCTGGAAGGAGGCCGTTTATCCCAAAGGCCCGTGGAAATTCCCAGCTGGCTGCTGCCGGATCTCAATAGTCCGAGCCAGAGAGCACCGTGGAGGCTTCCAGGGCAACCTTGGATGCTGAGGAGCATCCTGGGCACTGCCACCAGTGCAGATCCAGCCCCAGCCCGGCGGGTGGGACACCTCCAGAGCCCCATCCGAGCATTCCCTTGGATCCAAAGGGCCTGTGAGCTGCTCCGAGGGGCCGAAGGAATTTCCCAGGCAGGCGCTGTAGCGTTTTCCTGTGCATGTCACTAACCGCGATGTTCCATTTCCACCAAAAAAAATCTCATTTTCTTCTCTTTCTGTCTCCGTTGCTTTGCCCCCGCTCCGCGCTCCCCGCGGCGCCCGGCTCTCGCGCTCCGCATGGTGCAGGACGGGGCTCTTCACGCCCGACATGGCCTTTGAGGCCATAGTGAAAAAACAGATTGCAAAGCTCAGAGAGCCCAGCCTGAAGTGCGTTGAGCTGGTGCTCTCCGAGCTGGCCACGGTCATTAAAAAGTGTGCCGAGAAGGTAATGGCTCTTAATTGCTCCCCCTTCCTCTAATCCCARCATCTGGAATGTATTCGCTCCCAGGACCCAGCCGACCAAAGTGAGTTTCCCGGCGAGGCCGCTGGTCCCGGGGGGAGGCCGCGTGCTTCCCGGCCTCCCGCTGCAAGTGGCGCCCGGGAGCGCCCGGCGCCGACTCGGCTCCGCGGCACGGGTCCTGCGCGCACATATTGCCCAGCGGCGCCGGGAGACGCTCCGGCGCAGAGACCCCCCTCCTCCGCCTCGCTTAGCCGCCGCTCCCGCTCTGGAAAACGCTCCCGGCTCTGCTCGCCCGCGGGCGTGAGGAGGAGGCCGGCTCCGGCGGGACGCGCGCTCCCCGCTGCCGTGGGCTCCGCGGCTTCCCGAGCTCCGGCTGCGTCCCCGGGCCCCGCCGGCCCCCGCGGCGGCGCGCGCTCCCGGCGCCCGCGCTCCCCTCAGCAGCCGTTTTCCCGGCCTTTTCCCTCTCTTTTCAGCTCGGTTCCTACCCCAGGTTACGGGAGGAGACGGAGAGGATCGTGACCACTCACATCAGGGAGCGGGAGGGCAAGACGAAGGACCAGGTGAGCGCCTTCATCCCGACCCTTCACCCTCCTCCACAGATCCCGGCTCGTGATCCCGAAGCTCCCTCTTGCAGCAGCGCCCGGCGCTTCCTAACGCCCCACTCTCTTCCCAGATCCTGCTGCTCATCGACATCGAGCTCTCCTACATCAACACCAACCACGAGGACTTCATCGGCTTTGCCAAGTACGTAGCTGGCCCGCGGGGTGGGGGTTTTGGCCGCTTCTTTCACAAACGAAGCCCCTGGTCCCRGCCCCAGTTTGCGGAGGACACGTGGGGGACGTTCAGTGACACTTTTGGGGTCACCAATGTGACGACCGGTGGAAGAGGCTCCGCCGCTTTGCTTGCCCCAGGGCTCGCAGCGCCCGCCACAGCCGCACCGCTTCCTTCTCTTCAAATTCTCTCTGCCTCTGTGAATTCACTTACTCTTCCCCTGTTTTCTTTTCCTCCCCTCTTTTTCTTCTCTTTGTTTCTTTGTGTTTCATTTTTGGTTTCTCTCTGCTTTTCACGTTCGTTCGCAGTTCCTTCCTCTCCTCCTAATCTCTCCTGTTTTTCCTTTGAACCGTCTCTTCCCTCTTTCCTCCGGACTCCTCCGAAACTCTCCCACTCCCCAGCTGTTACACTGAGCAGCACTTGACGACAGGGTGGGTACCTGCCAGAACTGTACGTACCGAGTGGCCGAGCTCCGAGCGCGGCGCCGGAGCCTCTCGCCTCCCGGGATAGGGGCAGCAGCTGCCGGGAACCCCGGCATTCCCTGCTCGGCATCCCCAGCCCGGGATGGGGTTAGAGAGCAGCAGGGCAGACCAAGAGCTGCCAAGGCGCTCAGGTGGCCCCTCGGGCACATCCCGGGCTTGGAGGGCTGGAAAACGCCCCGTTTTTTTGCCTCATCGCCTGCTTCTCCCCGGGGCGTCCCGGCACAAGCCTGACTCTTTTCCCGGATTTTGTTCCCGCTGCCGCCTAACGGTCGTGTCCCGCACCTCGCCCCTTGGCTTGCTCAGGAGAGACAGGTAGCTTCTCCCTGGGGTGCAGGTCGGCTCTTCTGCACGCCGGGGGGCCGAGGCGCTTTCTGGGGGCTCCTCGCGCTGGTGGCAGGGCCGCTCGCCTGGCTGGGTGCACGGGTCCGCTCCCGCGCTCTTCCGAGCGGGAACCGCCGCGGAGCTGCTTGGTTTGCCCTCCTGCGAGGCGGAATCGTGGCCGCGGGCCCGGGAGCCTGAGCGCGCTCGGAGCAGGGGCTCTAAGGAAGAACACGAAGGTGCCCGGGGTGCAGGGCCCCATCGCGGGCCCGCGGCGCGCTCTCCTGCGGGGAGAGGAGCGGGGAATGTGGAGGCGCTTCCCGGCGGCCGCGGCTCTTCCTCGGCGCGGGCCGTGCCGGCGCCGCGCTCAGCGCCGCGCGCTCCGCTCTCGTTGCAGCGCCCAGCAGCGGAACACGCAGACCAACAAGAAAAGGGCCATTCCCAACCAGGTAGGGTGCCGCCGGGCCCGGGCCGCTCCGAACGCCCCATCCAGGGGGGTGCGCAGAGCCCCCGGGATTTGCCGGGGCAGGGAACGCCGAGCTCCCACTTTGGCCATTTGGAGCGTTTTGCTCCGGAGCAACTCGCCTAAAACGGGGGGGATTGGGACAGCCGGGTGATGCCCGTGAAGCCGGCGCATCCGCGTGGGAGGCAGCGTAATTCCGTGCTCCCGCAATCCCTCCTAGTCCGCAATAACAGAAGCTTTCCGGGGAAGGGGCAGCGGGAGCAGGGAGCGAGGGCCGCTGCTCTGTGCCCTCCTGCTCCGAGAGGGAATCGCTGTCGGATGGCGCGTGCCGTGGGAAGCGCCCCTCGCATGGTGTTAGGCCCTGCAGGACGTCCTGCACGCCTTGCCTCGTGCTCGCAAAGATTATAATGAAATATTAACACTGGAAAATTTTAATTAATAGCATGTAACTGTTTTTCTTTTGCTGTTTTCTGCTTTGTTTTTCCCCCTACTGTTTTTTGTGCTTCCTGCTCTCCCCTCCCTCCCATCACCTCCTTCCTTGTCCCTCTTCCGTGTCCTCGTCCTGCTTTTTTCCCTCCTCCCCCTGTTAATTTTGCGCCTAAAGGGTGAGATCCTGGTAAGTACCCACCTAGCGCGATAGTGCTGGTCGCCCCCGGGCAGCGAGGGAGCGGCCGTGCCGAGCGGAGCGGCCGCGGGAGGCAGCGCTCTCTCCCGACGGGAACGTTTTCCCTCCAGCAACGCGCTCTGGAGGAGGTGGGGTGGGTGGAAGGGCCCCGATCCCGCCRCTCCGGCCTGGGAGTTGGCCTCTGTAGCCCAAGGAGATGGAAGTGTCCGATAGGGAAGCGGCCTCGCGCAGCCGGACGGTCCAGGSATTGCCCAGACTTGGATCCTGGCCCCATATCCTCATCCGTCCCCGGGCACGGAAGCGAGGGTCCCGTTTCTGGGACGGTAATTCGGCTCCGGCGAGAGGGCGGATGGGAGCCGGATGGGAGCTCACGGGGCTCCCTCGGCTGCAATTCGGTCTCCGCTCTCAGRAACGAGGTTTAAATGACCCAATTTTTACCAAACCGGAGGAGCAGGAGGGAGCCGGCGCCTGCCGAGCTCTTCCCAGGGAGGTTCCTGCGCTCTGCTCCCTTCCACCCCGGGGCTTTGGGCCCCTCTTCCCCATTCCCGGCTCTTCCGAGTGCTCAGACGCTTCCATCCTCCTTGGGCACGGCGTGGACGTTCCCGGGAGCCCCGCGCACGGCTGCTCGTCCATCGCTGCCCGGGGGAGCGCGGTTGTGCCGGGCGAGGGGCAGCGCAGGAGACCTGGCACTTAGGGAGCTGCTTCCCGCTGGGAGCCGGCGCGAAGCCGGAGGCGCCTCGGAGCGCTCCGGATCGCCCTGGAGCCCCCGGGATGACTCCGGCTCTGGAGGCTTCCCTTTCCCTCCATTGCCCTTCAGCTAAAGAAATCAAATCCTGGCTTTTCCTTCCTGAATTCCGCAGTTCCCTCTATGCTGCAACCCGGAGAGCGCGAAGCAGGAGGCAGAAGCTTTAAATTGATATATTTATTGATGAGGATGAGGATTATTCGATTGGCARCGCAATCCCAGGGCTCCTTCCTTCCCCTCGCTGGGAAGGCTGCAGGGATCTGAGCCTTAGCACTAGCTGCTGCGCTCCGAACGGCGGGAATTGCGGCTTCTCCGGGAGCCGCATCCAAGCTGGGAATYGCAGGGGCTCCTTCCCCCTGCGGGACTCGGAGGTGGCTCCGGAGAAGCCCTCACGGAGCTGGGAAGCGGCCGGGATCCGCCTCCTGGCCGGGAGGGCTGACCCTTTCCCTGCGCTTCCCGCTTGGGATTCAGCGGCGCGTGCTCACGACTAACYGGAGCGGCGGCACTAACACCCGGCGCTGGGAAGCACCGCGTCGCTCTCGCTCCGGGCTTTGCGGTGCGGGCTGCTCGGAGCCGCCCGGGGCGCTCCCGGGACGGGATCCGCACTAGCCGTGGCGGCAAAGCCGGGCGCCGAGGGCCACGTCCCGCTGGGAGCAGGGGGGTTCCTCTGGGAATGGCTTTCCCGGCTCCTTTCCGGCCTTGGCCGCGGCTCGGAAGCAGCCGGGAGGAGCGTCCCGCGTCCCGGCTGCGTCCGAGGGCGCCCGCTTGGCGCGTTCCCGCGGGCGATCCCGCCGGAGCGGCCCGTAACGCGCGGCCCCCCGCGCCCCCCGGCTCCCGTCCCTGCAGGTGATCCGCAGGGGCTGGCTCACCATCAACAACATCAGCATCATGAAGGGCGGCTCCAAGGAATACTGGTTCGTGCTCACGGCCGAGTCCCTCTCCTGGTACAAGGATGAGGAGGTAGGTGTGTGTGTGGGGGGGCTCGGGCGGGAAAACCCTTGGATACTCTGGGAAAAGGGAGCGTTGTTCCTAACGCCCAGGCTCGGACTGGAAAAAAAAGTGATTTCTTTTTTGAATTGAGATACTTCAATTGAGGGATAACCCCCCAAATTGTGCCGGGGCCGGAGCATCCGTGTGTCCTGTGCACCGGAGCAGGGGCCGAGCTCCGAGCCGCCTGCAGATTCCCTGGCTCCGGATGCTCCCCGCAGCCAGGATTGTGTAAACACAGATAAAGCAGGAGATTCCGGGGGGRAAACGGGATCCGGCTGCCCGGGTGGCCGCAGTGGGACCCCCGCCCCCTCCTGCCTCTTTTGGGGAGGATTATTTTGGATTTGGGGGTGCAGGATTAGGGCGGGATCTGCCGCCTGCCCTGGATCCTTTGGCATCCCCACCCCGAGGGTCTCCAGCTCCGGCTTTCCCGGAGCAGCCGCGGGATGTGGCCAGCAGGGAGAGGCTCCGGGAAGCGCAGGACCCGCCGCCGGCGTCTCGGCCGCCAGCCTCGGGATCCGTTTTTCCCGTTTTTTTCCCAGTCTTTCCGTCCCACAAACCTGCAGCCCACGCGGCCCTGTTGCCCGTGGCCGCAGAGCTGAGCYGCTCTCCGCTGCAGCTCCCATCCCGCCGCTTCTCCCAAGCCGGCTCCGGAGGGAGGCTCCGCGTGGATTCAGGGGCCGCTGTGGCCCCTTTCCCTCCAGGGGGGCCTTGCTAGGCTCGGCCTAAGGAGAAGCAGCCGCTGCCGAATGGAGCTCCGGGCGGGCAGCCGCGTTCCCGGCTGCTTCCCACCCGCTTTGGGGGCAGCGATCCCGCTTTTCCCCCCACCCTGGGAATAAGGGGCGATGCCRAGTGGAGCGAGGGGGCTATTCCCGAGCCCCCCCCTTACCTGAGGCCGCCGGGTCGGAGGCGCCGCTCTGCCGGAGCGGGATAACCAATGTGCAGACTACTGTACAACGCGGCAGGCTCCTGAACAGGTAGTCTGAACACTGGGAAGCCCGGCCCGGATTCTCCTGCCGGCGCCACCGAGGGGGGGCCGCCGCTTCCCGGGATTCCGCGGCGGGAGAGGAGCCGCCGGGCGCGAGGAAACCGCTTTGTCCCTTCTGACGTGGCAGCGCCGGCAGCCGCCGCCAGGCTGGAAAAGGGAGGGAAAAAAAAAAGGGGGGAAAAAAAAAAAAGGAGCGTGTGGGTTTTTCAGGAAGTGGTGAGGAGGAGTGCGGGGCGGCCCCGCCGCAGCGGCGCACGTCACTTTTTGGGAGCGCGCGCCGCGGACAAAGCGGAGCCGTAACCGCTTCCAGATGTGGCGGGAGGCAGGGAAGCGGCCCCGCTGCCGGCCCCCGCGATCCCGGCTCCCTTTTCCCGGCGGAGCCCTGGGCGAAGGTCGCCCGCCCTGCCCCTGGCTTCCCTCCGTGCCCTCTCTTGCAGGAGAAGGAGAAGAAATACATGTTGCCTCTGGATAACTTGAAAATCCGGGATGTGGAGAAGGGATTCATGTCCAATAAGCACGTCTTTGCCATCTTCAACACGGAGCAGCGGTGAGAGGCCGGGGCTCCGCGCCGGGCAGCTCCCAAATCCCTGCTAGGGCCCAGGATACGCTCCGGGCTGGACCGGGACGCGCTCCGGGATGGGTGTTTCTGTCCCGGCCTCCGTTGGTGGCCTGTGTCTGGCTGCGAGATCCCATGGATGAGGATCCCATGGACAGCTCCCAGTTTACACCGCGTTCTGTGGGATTTGGGGCTTCCTCTGGCTCACGCTCCGGCCTGGAGCCCCTCTGGGGTGGCCCATGGAGCCTCCGGCTTCCCCATACGCTCCATCCTTATCCGTGTCCCTTGTCCCCCCTCTCCCAGGAACGTGTACAAGGATCTCCGTCAGATCGAGCTGGCCTGCGACTCCCAGGAGGACGTGGACAGCTGGAAAGCCTCCTTCCTCCGAGCGGGAGTTTACCCGGAGAAAGACCAAGTAACCGTCTCCCCAGCCCCGGGAGCCGGCCGCGGACCGGGATCTTCCCTGCATCCCGGCCGGAGAAGCCRCCAGCCTTAAAAGCACAGAGCTCTCGGCCCCAATTCCCAATGTTTTTTTTGTCCCCGGGGGTTGCAGTAAGATCTGGGAATGCCTGGGGCCCTGTGGTGGCTTTCCATGCCCGAGTCTAGGTCAGGCTTCCTGGAAAACACTCGGCTATCWAAGAATATAAGGGATTTATAAGGGCATCTCCTTAGCTTTCCCAGCGTCAGCCGGCGCGCTCCGGCTCCGGGCCGGAGTAACTTGTGCCCCGCTCTCCCCGCGCAGACGGAGAACGAGGACGGCGCCCAGGAGAACACCTTCTCCATGGACCCGCAGCTGGAGCGCCAGGTGGAGACCATCCGCAACCTCGTCGACTCCTACGTGGGCATCATCAACAAGTCCATCCGGGACCTCATGCCAAAGACCATCATGCACCTCATGATCAACAACGTGAGTGGGCGCGCGCGGGGCGGCCGCGGCGGCAGCGGCGCCGCAAAGCCTGAGCTTTTCCCGGCGCCGCTTCCCGCAGACCAAGGATTTCATCCACTCGGAGCTGCTGGCCTACCTGTACTCGTCGGGCGACCAGGGCAGCCTCATGGAGGAGTCGGCGGAGCAGGCGCAGCGGCGCGACGAGCTGCTGCGCATGTACCACGCGCTCAAGGAGGCGCTGCTCATCATCGGCGACATCAGCACGAGCACCGTGTCCACGCCGGTGCCGCCGCCCGTCGACGACACGTGGCTGCAGCCCGGCGCCGGGCACAGGTGGGAGCCGCCGGCGGAGCGGAGCCGGCGCGGGGATTGGGGGGAGGCTCCGCGCGGAGCGGCGGCGCTCCCAGGGGGTGGGGTGGGGTGGGG